TCGACTTATTTAATTCCGTTATTGACTAACGCGATTTAAGTCGATAATTATATGCAAGGATAGGCGATAACAAGCTTTCATACGATCTAATTGGAGTCAGAACTCGGGTCACTAAAGTGGAGAGCCCTTTCGACAACATCGTTCTATCTAAATGACAACCAAATTAAGGGCCGCACTAAAGTTCAAATGAATTATAAGTTTTTTTAATATTTCTTTTAAGAAAAGAAAAATAAATTAATACTACTAGAATATTGGATAGAAATTAGTAAGATAATTTATAAAATATCCTTTTAATCATTAAGTTATAAGATAAAACTAATTATAATACATAGTTCAAAGAATACCACTGACTATCTTTCAGTCAGTCACTAACAACGTAGAACTTCGAACATACCTACATCAGTTCGAGTTGCCATACCGCATTAACACAGAGATTATTACTATTATCATCAGCTTTATTCAGTAGTATATTTTTGGTACAATATAGAATTCTCTGCGTAAAGTATTTCAACAAGTTTCCGTTTCTTTCTTCTTGGTCGGTCCTGACGATAAATATAGAGTGATCGCCAGTTAGATGTTAGCAGTTCAGTAAATGAACATCTGAATAATGTGCATTCTTGTCGTTGTATATTGCCAGCAACCACATTGTCTCTTATTGAGTTTTTTTGTAACTTTGACAACGAAAGGTTGTAAACTTTTCATAAACGCAGCATATTAGGTTGTGCGAATAATAGACATAATGATATATTAAAACAAAGAAAAATAGATGATTTGTTGAAATATCTAGATGGCAGGAACAGGTAGCCCAGATGCTCAAGCAGGCCGCTCTTTAGCATATTTATATATTCTGACTTATTAGGCTTTAGTTTGAGCACCTGGATAGTATCATAGCATAGTCCAAGATTCTTCATATGTACATGCCAAAAACTCTATCAAGAAATGAACCTTAAACCTTCAGATTTTGATACAATAGCATTACATCTAATAGTATTTTGACTGATATCAGTTTATCAAAAATTACTTCCTATAAATTAAATACACCTTTACAAAACTTCTAATTCATACAAAAGATTATCTGAGAAATTGAAATAGATACAAATCACGATCTAAAAATAAGTGAATAAAGTATAGAATTCCTATTGAAACATGTAAGAAGCAAAGGGTCTTATGAAATGAAATACTAATTTCCTTTTTTTTGTCTTATAATTATCATCAGCTGTCTATTTACATCATAGATCATTCATGATTGATAACAAAATGAATACCAACTAAATGAGATGGGTTAAGTCAGAATTACTAAAAATGGTGAATTATTTCTTAAATTATAATAAATGATCAAAGTAGTATATCAAAGACCTAAATAAATAGATCGATTGTTTTATTTTCAAAGTATTATTTCATACGCATAGTTTGCAACATGGATTGATCTAAGATAATCGGTTCATGATCTCAATAAAAAAAAACAAGTTAACAATCTCCACAACCCCTAAACTGATGATTACCATGTGCTCACTAGTGACTAGCTTCGTGAGAAAATTCTCGGAGCTCTGTTCGGAAGCCGTGATCAGTGGAGCTAATCCGTGTTGGGTAGAAACAGGTGTCTACCTCAGTACAATGGAAGATGTTCGCTCAATTTCGTAGATTGGTTGAGGTTAGACATTAAAACCATTGTATGCCGGCTCAATGGTTCAGTACTTTATGTGTTTGTGGGCGAGACTGGAGGCCGTGGGTTAGAATCTCGCGAGTGGGATTGTGAACGCGCACTGCTGAGGAGTCCCATAATAGGACGAAACGGCCGTCCAGTGCTTCCAGGTTTTCAATGGTGGTCTAACATCAATCGGTTCATGATCTCAACCAAAATAAAAACTTAACAATCTCCACAACCCCTAAACTGATAATAAAATGAAAAGTTGAACGAAGGAAAATTCCTGTCAAAATTTTTTTATCAAGGCTCGACGCTAATATATATCAGAATGAGGGTTTATGGATATTGAAGTGATTTTTAATAGTTGAACTCGTGAGTCAATCAAGGTTAAACCACCATTGAAAACCTGGAAACACTGAACAGCCGTTTCGTCTTAATATGGGACGCGAACCCAGAACCTTCGACCTCGTGGGTAAACGCTTAACCTCTAGACCACTGAGTCGGCACTCAACGGTGTTAATGTCTAACTGCAACCATTCCACGATATTGTATTTTTATTGAGTAACCGCTTCTTCAACAGACACAGCTGGGATCGTGGCTGCCCACTACTAATGAGTCCCATACTGGGACGAAACGACCGTCCAGTGCTTTCAGATTTTCCATGGTAGTCTAGCTTACATTGACTCATGAACCCAATTATTAAAAAAAACTAGTTTATATGTTTTAGAAGTAAGTAGAAAATCTGTACAAATTAGATAGTAGTAAGTTGGTTTTAGAAAAGAATCATCAATTAGTTTAAAACGTTTGTAACATTAAATTTTAAATTAGGACTAAAGTGAATTTTCGTAATCAGTTAATTATTACAAATAGTTACATAAATAAAGTTGAATGTGAATCCGACTGTAAATATAGATGTTTCTTGCTATTTATGAAATTGATAATAAGTAATTAATGGGACGGGTGCAGTGAAATTTATATATGATGAATAAACAGGTTACGTAAGACTAAAATTAGAAATTTAATTGGTAATGGAACCGAAGTTTGGAAACTTTTTAAGAAAAGGGAAAGAAAGCTCTTAAAACAACTAATCGTATCTAAACAGAAGGCGGTCTGTGGTTCGTCACAAGGGGTAACAGGCGCAAGTAAGCAAGTAAATAAACTGGAGGTCAGAGTAGATTCAACGGTTGTATAAACTTTTTCTCTATACAAGGTTAATTTTTTTATGTATATTAATATGGCTTCTGTTATAGGTGAGAGTCAGATTCTTAGAACCTAAGAGTAAATTCAGAGAGGTTAAACACTGAAGTTTTATCCATGTGGTAACTGGTATCGACTAGATGCTCCAAGATAGAACTTCTTATTACTTTCTTTTGTCTTTTGGTCAACCATAAATAATAATGTCAAGAAATATGATGATCTTAGTTAAAACACAAATGAGAACTAGGAAGAACTGAACAGTATTTTTGGTCCTGGTACATCATTTATCCAGACGTTGAGTATTATTGGTCAGTAGGAAAATGACACGTTAAATATCCCAACAAGTATTCACCCATGCTCGAAGGTCCTAGGTTTAAACTCAAATAATGTCGAAGGGTCTCATATCATGACAAAACAACTGCCAAGTAATCGCTGATTTTCGGCAGTGGTCTAACAAACCTCAGTCTATGATTTAAATTATGAAAATTCAATTCCTATATCATTTGATGATTGAAAAGAGAATTCTAACAAAGCACAGTTTTGATTAGTATACTTTTAGTAACACAAAGTGAATCAATATATACGATTATTTTAGCTTTCAATACATTTAGTGATTAATTCCAATTAATATTATCAATATTCTTTAACATCATCAAGTGATAAAAAGATCTCAGGTTTTCATGTCAGGCAATAAAAGGTTACTCAATAGAATATCTAAAAAAAATTTAACTAAGCCACTGTGAACCATTAATTTACTTATTTTATTGATCAAAGCTAATTATATGTAAACCAGAATGTATGTATAAGTAGTATTTTTTTTTTAAATATTTGAATTTCAAGTCAGACATTTATAAACACAGTTCACTTCTTAAAGGTAGTTTACATCATTGAATTACTTAGGCTAGACAAATTTATAATAAGGATACATTGATGTCAACTTCATAGTTTACAGGTAATGCAGTTAATTTCAGGATGTGATGGTCCTACGTTCGATTCCCGGTAATATTTTAACTGTCCAAAACACAAGTGTTTTAAACTAGGACAAACAGCCCTCCCATATTCTTTGGTTTCTAAAGGTCTAAGGCTTAACCAAAGAAGGTCTATGAAGTGAATTATTTTTTTGTCAAAAAATAAATGTTTTTTTTTACTTCCATCAATGACAATTCTATCTAATCCTATTTACTATTTTGAGATTTCAACTGTCTATACTTAAATAATGTTATTTCACTATAAACAGCCCAGAAGCATATTACAGATTATCTTCTTTTCTAATAGCACTGAGATGAAATTATTTAAAAACTATTTACTATTGAATATAATCAAACTACAATCCTTTTTTCTCTCGCCAAATTTACTTCACTCGATTATACTCCTTGAATAACGTCTTCAAACTTTAAGTTTTCTGATTACTGCTTATACTTTCACTATCTCTATCACTATGGAGTTTGAATCGACAATTGTATGTCTGTGCTAATGTGGTATGGCAATCCGAACTGATGTACAACGTTCTAAGTTGTTACTGACTGACTGACAGTTCTTTCTATTGCTTATAGTATAACTAATTAACAGTGATTTATCATTTGTAGGAATAAGCAAATAATTAGTAGAATTCGGAAAGAATAAAAAATGTAAGCAAGTAGATGGGAGTTGTAAATTTCGTATCGTAGTGAGTGAGAACATAGGTGAGGACAACCAAATGTATTTGGATACTAATTTATAGTTATTTAATAAAATATGAATACAATACGTTCAATGCTTCATTTGCAAAATGTCCACCAATTGTTATTCCTTTATTTCCATAACAATCACTATCTGTTCCCGTTCTTTTCTAAACGATCTTGTCAACCTTTTGTTGCCAGGCAGTCCACTTTCAATTGGTGTTACAAACTACTTATAAATATCTGTCGACATAAGTATCACAAACTACAATATCTTGCTTAGTCAATCGACTATTATGAATGAATCAAATTAATCATACATTATCCTCATTAAAATGTAGAATACTTTGGTTTTTAATGAAATAATCAAAACGTCTACTACTTAATTATAAAATATGATATTTTCAGTAACTTGTTATGTAACGATTAATCTATGTATTATTTACATACAATAGGAAATACATAGTATTTATTTTTATAAAAGATGTTTATTAACTTACGTAACACGTTTATCTTCATTCATTTCTACAAGACGTGCTCTAGCTAATACTTGTTGTATACATTCCTTTTCATCATCAGTTAATTCCATTTGTACAGTTTTAAGTAAAGCTATTTCAGTAGTTGATGTATCTGTAGTTAATTTTGAATTTGTTTTATTTTGATTAGAATCATTTGTTCCAACAATTTCATGTAAAGAAATTTGTGATTGACTTTTACATGAATTCGGTAATAAAGTAATTCCTGTATCAGATAAAGTTAAATCACGTTGTAATGATTGACTACGTTTATGACTAACATTATTTCTATGATTGTCCTCTACTTGTCCAGAGATTTGACTAGTTTCATTTCCCATTTTAATTCATTTTTTTTATATCCCCATAAAAATAATCATTAAAATAATAATAATAATAATGATAATCATCCATATAGTTGATCATGTTTACTTTGTACAATTACATAGGAATTATTAAAAAAAAATAATCAATATATTTGAGCATCATCTAGAACGACCAACTGGTCATGAATATAAAATACGAAGAATATTTTGTTATTTTCATGTGTGAACACACAAAAAAAACACATTCAAGATCTAGTCTACTACTAATACCACCACTAATACTACTAAGACATAGGTTGCATGCTTCTTTAGTTCCAAAAAAAAATTGATAGTTTAAATGATTAGTATTGATAGACTAAACATATTATCCAATCATATGAACGACCTTGAAATTTTCCCATTTTACTGGATATATTTGAGTCTTATTGACTGAATTGCTTATTATCGATTGATCTGGTCAAATATGAAAATAAATGTAAACATATAGTTAGTTAGTTAGTTATTAAGGGAAAATTATTAGATTGTTTAAAGTTATCCAAATATAATAATCATAATTAACAAAAAGAAAACGTGAAGGATTTAATTTGTGAAGAAGAATTCAAAATTAATTTTATCAAAAACATGGTTGCCATTTGAAATTTCTGGTTTTATATGGTTTATAGTTTGTTCTTCATACTCACTAGGTAGAATGAAAGATAAGCCTTGTGTGTGTGTGTGTGTGTGTGAGTTTGTTTGTTTGTTGGAAATTTATTCACATCATCAAAATATTGAATGAAATATTAAAAACAATATAAGAAAACTAATGTTGAACATTGAATGAAATTATACTTTACAGATATTCTAGTGTCTGTTGCTACGTATGGAGGAGGAGAAGAGGCCATCTATAAACATTCTATATCCAAATCTATCCTCCATAATCATTTTAAGTTATTTACACTTGATATTCAACCTTTCAATATCTGCATCAAATTCTCCATTCAGTATCTTCTTCCGCCTATCACTTTTACGTTCAACTTCACAATTACAATTTAACGCTTACTTCGTTATGCAGTTTCATGATTTCTTCAATGTATATTCTATCCACTTACAGTGTCGTTTCCTAATTTCCTTCTCAGATGAAAGCTGATTTGTTCTCTACCAAAGTAGTTTGTTGTTGTGGTTGATGGAATCTGACCAACGGATATTGAGTATCATGTGTAGGCAATTGTTTATAAATACTTGTAGTATTTTGATGATGGTTGTGGTAGTTGTTGAAGTTCCAGCTTCATACAGTACGACTGTCTTGACGTTCATATTGAAGATTGTGACTTTGATGTTGGCTTGGAGACAGCTGTTTTGAGTTTCATATGTTGTTCACTTGTAGGAATGTTATCCTTGATTTGTCAATCCTTGCTTTTATGTTTGTATCATATCCACCGTGTTCATCGACGAAGCTACCCAATTATGTGAACGTTTTCACCTCTTCCAGAGTCTCTCTATTAATTGTGATTGAGTTGTCGTTCTCTATATTGTATTCGAAAATCTTGCTTTTTCCCTTGTGTATGTTGAGGTCTACTGACGCAGGAACATTTGCTACGCTGTTTATTTTCCAGCTATTGGTTCCATGATTTAAGTATTGATTATTAGATGATGGTTTTAACCTACACGATTGCATAGATTGTAAGCACCTTTGTTAAAAATAAAGGCATACCTTACGAAAAAACCAATCACATTTAAATTGCGACTATTGGATATTTGGGTGAAATTCAAGACGATATGACAGATAGATTGTATCTTATTAAAAAGCTATGCTGGACATACGCATAATTAATTACTAAGACGCCTAAAATGAATAATACGAGAAGACTAAAACATAAGGACCATATTTTACTATCTTTCTGAATTAACTTAAAATTGTTGATATTTAAAATCAAAGGACTAAATGGATAAGTATTCATCTACATAGGTACAAAACAATCTTTATTCTATTCATAACCAGTAGTCCTAACTTCTGACTAGTACCACTTATCCTAACCATTAATCCTAATTAAAATTGCTAACCATAAATCTGAATGTATTTTTAGATTTGGCGATGTAAATTATTCATTTGTATTACCTGTATTGACTAAAATATTAACTTTTCTTTCTCGTAGTCATTTTAATTATTCCTGAATATTGTCAGCGTTCTATACTTTCAAAATATTTCGCAAATTTATACAAGTAATAACAAATAAATAAAAATATCTCCACAGGTTGCTTACTTACTTACGCCTGTTACTCCCAATAGAGCATAGGCCGCCGACAAGCATTCTCCAGTCCAATCTGTCCTGGGCCTTCCTTTCTAGTTCTATCCAATCGTTGTTCATTTTTCTCATGTCCGTTTCTATTTCCCGGCATAACGTGCTCTTTCGACTCTAATTTAGGGACGAGTCAATCAGAAGCGTTTGAGCAATTTCAAGGTCACGGCGCCTAGTTCAACACGCGATGCTAACATACGATCGGTTCACTAGCGGATTTTAGAGAGGAGGTGATTAGTGAGAGGTTACAACAGATGGGACGGCTAGACTCTAATTTAGGGACGAGTCAATCAGAAGTGTTTGAGCGGTTTCAATCATTAGCCAACAAGAAGACAGTATAAAGTAAAAATATATCATAAGAAAGTAATGTATTACAGTGGATATTCTTCTTTTACATGATTTAAAAACTTGTTAAGGTTTGATAAAGGTTCGGAAGTTCTGAATACATAACCCATACAGTATAGAAACTCGTCCATAGGGTTAGGGTTAGGGTCAGGGTTAGAGTTAGGGTTGTAGCCTCTCGATAAATACCTGTTCCCTAAAATCCGTTGTAAACCGATCGTATGTTAACACCCTAACCTTAACCCTAACCCTAACCTAACCCTAAACCGTAACCCTATGGACGAGTTTCTATACCATATGCATTATGAATTCAGAACTTCTGAACCTTTATCAAACCTTAACAAGTTTTTAAATCATGTAAAAGAAGAATATCCACTGTAATTCATTACTTTCTTATAATATATTTTCACTTTATACTACCTATCTACTGATTGGCTAATAATTGTCAAGGTCATTCAAGGTTCGCTCAAAAGTCGTCCCTAAATTAGAGTCTCGCCCCCTCTTCTCCTTTGGCCTTCAGTATTCCATGTGAGGGCTTACCTTGTATGTATGTATATCCTATCCCCTCCCAGCACTTCCTCCCAATCTCTTCCTCTGCTGGGATCTGGCTTTTTCTCTCCCATAGTAGTTTGTTGCTGATAGTGTCTGGCCAACGAATCCAAAGTATTTCGCGTAGACAACTGTTAATAAACACCTGTATTTCCTGGATGATGGCTTTCGCAGTTCTCCAGGTTTCTGACCTATACAGTAGAACTGTCTTGACATTTTTATTGAAAATCCTGACCTTGGTGTTGGTTGACAGTTGCTTTCAGTTCCAGACGTTCCTCAGTTGTAAATATGCTGCTCTTGCTTTACCGATCCGCGCCTTTACATCTGCATCAGATCCACCATGTTCATGCCCAAATATGTAAAGGTTTTTAAATCTTCCAAATCTTCTCTGTCAATTGTGATTGGATTGGTGCATGCTGTGTTGTATCGGAGAACCTTGCTCTTTCCTTTGTGTATATTGAGACCTACTACTGCTGAGGCTGCTGCTACACTGGTCGTCTTCTCCTGCATTTGTTGTTGCGTTTGGGATAGAAGGGCCAGATCATCTGCGAATTCTAGATCGTCCAACTACATCCTAGATGTTCATTGTATCCCGTGTTTCCCTCCAGATGTTGACGTCTTCATGATCCAGTCGATCACCAGGAGAAAGAAAAAGGGTGAGAGTAAGTAACCTTGCCTGACACCGGTCTTTACCTCGAACGAGTCTGTCAATTGTCCTCCATGCACAATTTCGCAGTTTACTCCATCATAGGAATTCCGCATGATATTGAAATCTTCTGAGGCACGCCGTAGTATCGAAAAAGCTTCCATGGTGTTGTTCCGTCCATGCTATCAAATGCCTTTTCGCAGTCTATGAGGTTGATGTAGAGTGATGAATTCCATTCAATTGATTGTTCCACAATGATCCGTAGAGTTGCGATTTGATCTGTACGCGATCGATCCTTACAGAATCCTGCCTGTTGGTCTCGAAGTTTGGCGTCTACGGAGTCGTTTATTCTGTTTAACAATACCCTGTTGAAGACTTTTCCCGGTATTGAGAGAAGAGTGATGAAACTGTAGTTAACACAGTTTCTGAGATGGCCTTTCTTCGGTATTTTGATCATAAGTCCTTCTTTCCAGTCTTTTGGTACTTGTTCCTCATCTCAAATCTTATTGAAGAGAATGTGGAGTATCTTTGCAGCTACTGCAACGTTCCCTTTCAAATCCATTTCAAATCATTAAAAACCAAATTAAATACAATTAGAAGTTACACACTAGGAGAATCCGATGCAGACGTAAAGGAGATGTTTGAAAAATCAAGGATAACATTCCTACAATTGAACAACATATGAAACTCAAAACAGCTGTCTCCAAGCCAACATCAAAGTCACAATCTTCAATATGAACGTCAAGACAGTCGTACTGTATGAAGCTGGAACTTCAACAACTACCACAACCATCATCAAAATACTACAAGTATTTATAAACAATTGTCTACACATGATACTCAATATCGGTTGATCGGATTCCATCAACAACAACAACAAACTACTTTGGTAGAGAACAAATCAGCTTTCATCTGAGAAGGAAATTAGGAAACGACACTGTAAGTGGATAGAATATACATTGAAGAAATCATGAAACTGCATGACAAAGTAAGCGTTAAATTGTAATTGTGAAGTTGAACGTAAAAGTGGTAGGCGGAAGAAGACATTGAATGGAGAATTTGATGCAGATATTCAAAGAATGAATATCAAGTGTAAATAACTTAAAATGATTATGGAGGATAGATTTGGATATAGAATGTTTATAGATGGCTTCTGCTCCTTCACGAGATATAACAGGTGTAAGTATGTAAGTAAATAGGAA